AAAAGAGCTTTTGTGATATTGATATCACAATAAATAAAGATCATTTATCTTTGTTGATTGCATTGGGGTTGATATTATTCACTGTATTTAAACTGCTCATATAAGGTATTTGACTCTCATGCTAGAGAAATATAGAAAAAGTCATCCACAAGGGAATTTGTGCTATTTCATGTATCGTCTACAAACAATTTGGTGCAGTCTTTTCAAAGTTTAAATGGGTTTACAGAAACATTGAATTAAGGCATAAAAATTGCTACTGCTCTTATAGCTATAGCAAACAATCCAAACAGCTGATAAAAACAATATAGCAGAATCACAAAACATTGTTGAGAGCTGTTTTGCAAAATCCCTTTATTTTTTATTTGATCATTACAACCTGCAATATTTATAGGACAACAAATACATTTACATTGCAATTGAAAGAAGTGACTCGCAATGCAACTTCTCTAAATCTGAATTGTTCCTGAAACACAGATTTTTAATACTCAAATAAAAAATAACCTTGCTAGAAAACAAACCTTCATTAATGGTTGTATGGAAAAGTAATAAATAAAATATTGCTGAAAATAGATAGGCTTCAGATTTTATTTTTTCCATGAAAATGCATCTCAATTGGAAATTGCTCCAGGAAGCCCATGTAAGCGCTCTCTGAGCGTCTAGTTAAGACAGTAATACCATGATCACCTCGGATTCCATTGTCTTCCGAGGGGTTTACAAACCCGAATTTCCCTCATGAATAACATGGGGAAAATTTAGAAGACAAAGGATTCTTCTGTCTTGTACTAAATTTCTCTCAATTTAATTTATGCAAGGGAAATTTAATAAAAGACAATCCTTTGTCTTCTAAATTTCCCACCTCATGTTATTCATGAGGAAAATTGGGGCTCCTTTGCCTTCTATACTTCCCTAATGCAGTGCACAATGTAAACATAGTAGACTATCTGGCACTAGCATGTCTTGCATGTGTGACATTTTTTTACCTAACTGCGCATGCCTGTGCACTTAGTATAAAAAAAAACGAAAATGCCTATGACAGATTTATACGCAGCTACATAAAACAATATTATAAAAATCACTTTTAAAATCATTTTTAGCACCAGATTGAACGCACTTGCACTTTTGCCAACTCGAAATGAAGCATTGAAAAAAATAGCATTTAATACAGAAAACTGATATAATCACTTTTAATTTATTGAACTTCGTTTTCTGTTCTAAACGAAAATCTCTAAGCCATGTAACCAATGTTGAATTAATTACACAATAGAAGATTTGAAAACTATTCATTGATTACATCATTATCAAGTCTAGGTGTACAACACGCTAATGAGCTAGTTTTACAATTTGGCGTTGTTTACGCTTCCTTGATTAGAAAACTGGACATCATATCAAAGATGTTTTCTTACTTCCTCGACGATCATAGTATTACAAAGTACATAATGCCAGTGTCACTCGTGAAATAATCTTCCTCGCGGTTTCCTGCGCCATCTTGAAAGGTAGCCGTGCCTTTGCATCGAAGCGAGGTGACCGTTGAGCGTGCAAGGATAGAAACCTTCGTTCACACCTACAAACAATTATTACAGGTATCTATCATTGCACGGGGTTATCTCGCTTCGATGCAAAAGTACGGCTACCTTTCAAGATGGCGCAGGTAACCATGAAGGAGAGCTTTTTGTTATGTATTATCAATGTTTGTAAATGTATGCAATATTGCTGTATAGTTAATCTCTCAACTGTTGTTTATCAATTCAACCTTAATAAGGAAGGAACTAACCAGAAAACTGATAAGTTAATTTAGTCCTCTGTCTCATCTATACAAAATTAGGGAAACTTAAATTTAGATGTCACATATATACATATACCTAATACATTGCAAAAACTGTAACAACATTTGAAGAGAGAAATAAACTATTCTATTCTGAGACTGCTCCCTCGGGACTTCCACAAATTTTCCCTCGGTTTCGGTTAAATTTAGTCACTAATTTCCCTCGTTCCATGGTATTACTTATAATAACTAACCAATAACTAGAGATTTAATAATACTGCATTTTTGTGCTATTTTAACATATGGGGATCAAATGCGCAAATGGTAATGAATCATGGCTTTTAAGGCCATTCTTTGAAAATGTCCTTACTGTAATTTACTGAGCTGAATTATCTTGTCAGATTCTCAACGCACTACTTCCAAATAAACTTGTCAAATTCATTACTTTTAGGACGATCCAATAAACGTTTTTCACGAGAAGCTCGATTTTGAGTTTTCAGATAATGAGAATACAGGGCCGTAGCTAGTAAGAGGCCAACCGAGGCACTCGCCTCGGTAAAATTTTGCCGATGCTTTTTGTTCTTCATCACTAATATTATCTTAGCCTCTCAGAGCCGATTTCGCACGACTGATTTTGTGCAAAAAATATAAAAATAATGTTATTTTTGTACGT